AATAACAATTTGTGGTTTGTATGTCAGGTGAAAGTGACAACGGGTGGTATGTATACTAAAATGTTTATCGTCTTCCATTATACATGAGGGTGTGATTGGGGGTTTATAGAATAGAAAATTATTGACCAAAAAATAGAGAATACAAAAAATAACCAGACAAATATATAGAAAAGAAAATGATGAGGTTCTAGAATATATGGAATAAAGAATGATCGACAAAAGGTATAACGATTAGAAAAAATTGCCTAAAATGATAGAATACAGAAATAATGAATCCCTATTCAGACCCTCATAATCTGACGATGACATTTAGCTTTAGGACAATTATGGGCATGTGATACAGTTTTAGAACCACAGTTATTTTTTTTTACAAAAGTTCACATATATACAAGCTAATTTTTACAAAATCAATTTGTATATGTAATAAAAATTATATCTTCATGTGCTAAATTTAAAAGACAAATGGGTTTGAATTATTCGACATTAAAAATTTTTACTTATAACATTTCGGTTTCTTGGACATTTTTGTCCTTTGAACAGACATCCTTAACTTTTTTGTTTCAAAAGATAAAGATATGCGGATTTCGGTAAAGAGATTAGGAATATCTTCGTTATAAAATTGGGCTCTACATTTGTGTAACAATTCTTTGTTAATATTTAATTTTTGTGAAAAGAAATTGATACAAGAAGAAAAAACGGTATTTTTGTTGTATATCTATCTAGTTAAAAAAAGTCGGTAATTTCTTCATAAAAGTTGCAACGAATAATCTTCATACAGTATCAAGCAAAATGTCATGTCTAAAATGAGGGGGCCATAACTGATAACAATTTTTCCTTAAAAAAATGAAAAAATAATTATTTGGATAAGAAAATAACCCAGATATTTAGATATATTAGAATAAAAATATTTTTTTAATTTTTTAAAAATCATTTAATATTCATCGGTTTATGATTAAATGAAAAATATAAAAAATTTTAAGTTGTTTTAAAGGAAGGAAAATAATGTTTGTCCCGAGAAAAAAGCCCCCCCCCCCCCCCCCCACTTATAAATGATCATTAATTTACCTAAGTGGGGGCTTAAATTTGGAGACCGATCGCCAGGCCTGATTGCCATAAACAACAGATAACGAACAGCAAACAGTGGATACATCAATTGATATGTACAATGTATGAAAGTCAACAACGGACACAAAATGATTGCACTGAATAATTTCAACTACCATTGAGATCGTTTTTTTCAAATCTCCTTATCAAATTAGAAATGCATTTTAAAAAACCTTGGGATATCTTTTACAGTTTGGAATTGGAATTGGAATTTAAATTGCATTTCCCAAAGAGTTTCAGGTAAAACCCCGAGAATCTCACCTCCTAGAAATTTGAAATGCCAGGATGTTTGAAAATATGTATGAATTTTATTACATACTTGAAATTGTATAAGGAATATAAAAAGATTCAGTATGTTTACTGTACAAACAAACAACAGACACCAAGTGATGGATACAATTGTGGCTTATATTGTTTAATTCATTTTTACTGAGAGCAAAATTTGATTGGTTGATTATTCAGTGGTTGTTTAAACGTCCAGTGGCAAAAATTTCATGCATATTCAGGACGAAAAGTCGTTTCAGAAGAATATTATGAAGTATTTGGTATTACAAATGTTTAAATTTTCTCATTATTTGGTAAATTTCATTTTCTTAGCTATTTCTAATTAATTTGTACGAATCAGATTTTTCTGACAAATTATATATTTGCTCTAAATTAACTCATACGATTCTGATAATATAAGGAACGTTGTAACTTAAGTAAAAAAAAAAGAGATTATGATTGTTTAATCAGTTGTTATGTAAGTTCGCTCGTGTCAGTCGGATCACTGATTTTCGGCAATATCAAGGAAAAACCTGCACGTTCCAAATATTGTTCAACTACTCATTTAATGGTGATTCTTTTTCTTTAAAAAATGGAATTTATGTAATAAAAATCTATCTATCTCTACCATAGTATGAAAACAGAGTACAAGTAACACGTCCTTTCTAGTCCTTAGAGGCATATTATAAGTCCTTAGCAGTGTTTAGACGTACAGGCAGAAAACAGTCGAAGGCCACGAATGGGTAGAAAATCCCGCACCGAAGGCGTTTTTCAGCTGGTCCCTAAACAAAAATGAATTTTAGTTCAGTGATAATGGACATCATACTAAACTTCGAAACATACAAATATTTCCTAAATTTCGGAATGTAAACATATGATAATTAATTAGTTAAGGTTACAAATTTAGACAGATAAAAAGAAGGGGGATCAATTCATTTGAATGGGGACATATGGTTAAAACCACCCCTTTTATCCTGGGTTGAGAACCCTCCTTTTAAAAATGGCTGGAATCGCCACTCTTTAAAACGTAGCAATTTATAAATTATTTATATTAAGTAGGATTATAAAATCGATGAGTTTTATAATTTGACAACACTCATTGATATTGGAAATACTATCCTACAATTAATTTATTTAATACATGGAGTGGTTTAGTAAAACTGTCGACCAATCAACACAGAAAGCAAAATATCTAAAATTTGTATACCCTTATAGATTTTCATTATCATACATCAATTTTAAATGCAATTCCAAATAAAATGGCTTTGAGAACCGTGTATTAAGCGCTTATCGTTCATTCGTCAATGATTCATTCACCGTGCGTGTATCGTGCGTGTATCGTGTGTTCATCATTCATCGTGCATCGTGCGTGTATCGTGCGTTCATCATTCATCATTCATTTTTCGTTAATCCTCCGTGTAACGCTCATCGCTCATCGTGCGTGTATCGTGTATCGTGCATTCACCGTGCGTGTATCGTGCATTCACCGTGCGTGTATCGTGCGTGCGTGTATCGTGCGTGTGGTCAGTTTGAATTTTAGAAGGTCTGTAATATGATCCATTATTCTAGTAAGTTTGAATAAACTGGATAAAAAACAAGAAAGATGGTCTTGAATGACAAACAAGAGGATTCATATGTACTACTCTCCCTCTCCCTTACATGTTCATATGACTGTCATACAAGTGAGAGGTTTAGCTAGCTGTATAAAACCAGGTTTAATCCACCATTTTCTACATAAGAAAATGTCTGTACTAAGTCAGGAATATGACAGTTGTTATCCATTCGTTTGATGTGTTTGAGCTTTTAATTTTGCCATTTGATTAGGGACTTTCCGTTTTGAATTTTCCTCTGCATTCAGTATTTTTGTGATTTTACTTTTTGTTCCATCAAGAAATTGAAAAAAAAAATTGGAAATTAATATTTTGTGAGGTGCAGCAATATTGATAGTATGGTTAGTATGTTTGGGCTGAAATTATCTGCATCAAAGTAAGATACTGGGACTCTTTTCATAAAAAATCTTAAGAGTAAAAATACTCATAGGTCATACACATTTCAGCATAACTTACGATCAATTTTACACCTAAGATATTTGTGAAAAGAGTCGCAGTACTGTACTGGCAAAAAAGTTACAAACATCTTTGCAGTAATCCAGTACTAAAACAAGAGGCTGCCGAGTGACAGCAAACCGAATTTTCCTGCAGAGGTCGAACCCTGAACAGTTGAGCAAGTATGGACACAACATTTAAGCTTAAACAGCTCTGAATTTAGATTGTGATTGAATATTTAAAATAGATTATCATCTAATTAATAAAGAAAATGATATTTGCAAATCTGAACCCCAAACAGGATCATGTAAAAATTAAACATTCATTAACACACACAACAAAAATAAAATACTAAATAACAACTGTGACATATACCTTCATAACATACATGACTTAAAAAAAATAGTTATTAAGAAATTTTGATGAAAATTTTCATTACTGGTTCATGGAATAAGTTTGAGTTATTTTCCTTTTAACAGAAATATGGTTTAACCTAGTACTCTATTATTATAATCACTAAAAACAGTTCTCTAAAATTAGATATGATGTAACACAATGTATATCTATTTTCAAATTATAATCAAATATAATTAATAGATCCAAATATTTTTCTTTCATTTGTCACAAACTAATATAGATCTACAACTTATCTATGATCAATGTCAACAACTTTATCTACATAATGCAATGTAATGAAATATATCCTTTAATAAAAATAGATTATCTTATTAAAGGAGTTTACTTCATAAAAAAATTTTATATATAGTATTCAGAAAATTAGTTTATACAGAATAACAAACAAACCTACAACAAAATTCTTCAAACAATTTACCAAAGAAAAGAAAAAAAAATCCAAAATGTCATTTATCATTAATACAATGTCTTTTAAAAATCTTTTAAAAAATGAGTTATTTCCCTTTGTACAGTAATTGATTAATTCATCAAAAATTGAAATCCTGGGAAAGAGCTATAACTGAACAACGAGAAAAGCTAAAATTGTGAAAATTGAACTTGACCTTCATTTAGTCACAGGAAACAACATATCTAAATTTGAAAAAATTTCTTCAAAGCGTTTTCATGTAAATGAACAGACATTGTTTGGCAGCCGTCCACCCGCCCGCTAGCATCCCGCCCGCTGAACATCCCCAAATCAATAACCAATTGTTACTTCGAAAATCCGCCTAATGATATTTTTTTTTTCTTGCAACCTCATTTAAAAAGAAAAAAGAAGAAAACAAAACAAAAAAGTTTTTGTCCTTATTACTCTCTTTGAAAATTACTGTACCCATTTCACACTAAAAGAAAAAGTCCTTTAACAGCTTTCCATGTACATTTATCTATATTGGGACCTCTGATTGGCCTGTAAACACATTACTCACTTGATTGATGGGTAGAGGGTGTGGCTTGCATAAAACATTACCTTAGACCTATCATTTTGGACCTCTGTTTAGCCTAAGACACACTACTAACTTGGACCAGCTTGTGCTCCTGAATGTGACTGATTGATAGGGGGTGTGGCTAGTATAATGTATGACCTTAGACCTATCATATTGGGACATCTGATTGGCCTGTTAAGACATTACTTACTTGGACCAACTTGTGCTCCTGAATTTGACTGATTGATAGGGGGTGTGGCTGCTCTAAAATCTGTGTCCTCATTTCCTTGAGACACTCTAGCCTCTCCTGTAATCACATAAAAATAATACATTTATACTGCAGTCAGCCAATTCAACTATTGTACATACAACAGGTATACAAATAAATTTTTGCTATACTTGTACTTGTACAAATAAAGTCTCCTGTTACCCCGCCTCCATGTGGAGCAAGCGGTAATGTGGATATTTCTTTTTTGTATAAAAGTAAATTTTTGGCGTTTTCTTCACGGTCTGTTTTTAAACTATGTCGATTTCTTTAAAAGTTAGGAACAACATTTTGGATTTCAACAACTAAGGTTTTAAGTGGCAGGTGTAAATTGCAGGATAAAAACAATATATTTATATTGTCGGAAATATAAAATGTATTTATACGCAAAACAGGAGTAAGCTTGGCGAGCCTCGCTTTTCGTCCTGTTTCTAAAGCTCGTACAAATACATTTTATGTTTTCCAACAATGTACATATATTGAATATTTACCATTATTCAAATCACATAAATCAAAGATACAAACAAAGGTCACAAACAATAACTGAGGGAATCCCCTGAAATCCAAAAGGAGTGAGATTGAGGGCATCGACACGGGTAAGTGTCTCCTCTATGCATGCTTCACAAGCCATGAGAATCTACACACAGTAAAAATGTCAAAATCCAGAATAGGACTAAATTTAGATGTGTTTAATGAGATTTGTTTTTGACTATGTAGAATCACTATTTGCAATTTTGCATTGTGATGCACTATTTTCAGTGGTGCATTCTTCACTATTTTTGAAGCATCATGGATTCCTCCAGTCTGAAAAATCAGTGGAGCCATGCCAATTTTGACATTTGTTTTTATTTTGCTGATTGTTTTATCAGCAAGAGCATGATGGGGAGCTAGGACTCTAGAACTTATGATTGCAGAGATTTTCTTCTTAACTTGTTGGAGTATTTTGAAGCTATGTAGTTAAACCTCTATATCATAAATACTGTACACCAACATATTTTAGTAGATATTTTATTTTGCGTTAAGCCCTTTCTAGCCCACTTCGTGGCCCATTAATTTTGCAATTTTCAAATTCTTCTAATGTAGTTAGATAAGGAAAGATTCAAGTTTTAAATTTTGTGCGAGGATTTATATTCGCGTCATTTTTCTACTCACGAAAGTTGCGAAAAATAAATTGCTTGCTAAAAATAGTTGGATTACAGTATACATCACGTTATTAAAATCTCTTTGTACTTTGTCTTGTTCTTATCTGCATATACTCAAGTTGGAAATGATAGAAAAAATCCACACTTCTAACTAGGGTACAGAGGTATATCAGTCAAATATGACTAGTCTTACTGGTGTTGAGTAAACATCTTTTTTTTAATGTGTTGAAAAGGAAGACTGCTGGTGCATGAGGTCACAAGTCACCTATCATGCCTATTAAATATACAGAGAGAAATTTTAAGTGAATAACCCAAAATTTCCAGTATTCACTTTAAAAATTCACCCCTAACAGTGATGTTGTGTGTGTGACGTGAACAGTTTTTCAGGGTAGGACCACCCTGTTGATTCATATATTTTTTTATTGGTTTTTGTTTGTGGTTGAACAATTTTTGATTTTGAGAATGAAAAAGTTTTGATTTAGAGAATACAAAATTTCTTGATTTCATCATCTACATGTCTGCTTCAACTATTGTCAACAAAGTAACTAAAAATTTGAGGTTCCTTGAGAATAAATAAATATGTAGTTTTTCCTTTACCCACAAAATCCAAGAAAATTGATATACCACAAACATTATTGGATCAACAGTGTATCAAGTCAGGAATAGGGCAACTTTTGATTTAGCCATTTGATAAGGGACTTTCTGTTTTGATTTTTTCATTGAAGTTCGGTACTTTTGTTATTCAACTTTAAACCACAACATACCCGATGAGACATTAAAATTTTCCTCTTGATTTCCACTTCTTTCTGATCGTGCATCAAGATTCTCAGATTCTGTAATGAAATGCAAAGTAATTAACAACATTTTTACAGTACTGCCAAGTTTTCATGAAGCAAATGCATGAGATTTGGCCAAATAGATCAAAGGAAAATGCCAAAAAACAGGCATGAAAGTGTGCGAGTCTCACGCTAATTGAGTTAGACTTGGCAGCCCTATTGTAAACGAAATATGTGTGTGTCAAAAATAATAATATTTGTTAGCTAGTTTCTTTAATCTACCTTCATACAAATGTAGAAACTAAAAAATTATGATAAGATGGAGAAACTTTTACTGTTACCATCAAAAAGCAATACCAAAAAAGTTATTTAAATTTCTTTCAGTTGGCTAGATAAGTATTGAGACAAGCTACCTATAGGTGCTCAAAGCAAAAGGTTAATGAAATTGTCAAGTTGAAAAATTCTGAACTTTGTTAAAGGGGAGTAACTCAAAATAATATCAATCTGTTCAAATTTAGTGTCAAGACTTTTTTTCTTTGTTGAAGTTTGGTAGGCATGGTTTTCATAACATAGGTTTGTTTTTCTTGGTGATTTTAGAAATTTATGATAAGGGGTCAAAATCAAAACCTAAATTAAAGCAGTTGATTATGGATAAAATTTGAATCTAAGGTGTAATTTTTATTTCTTTTTTTTTTGTGAATCTTACAATCTCAAAAAAATCAAAAAGCTTCTAAACAAGCATAGAAATATATGCATATCCTAATTTATATAATTAGGAGTCTATACAATCTTACAAGGATTTCCAACTTCAATTGAAAATCGGTTGGTTTGAATATTCATTTATGAAAAATACAATGTCTACCTTCTAGTGTAGGTTTTATAGTTTCAATTGGCACTAAGTATAGAATTTTTTAATCATGAAATTTAATATTCTGTCATTTTTCATATCAGTTTAAAACATTTGAGCTGCGTCAGATAGACATTGACCTTGTGCAAATGCAGGTATACATGTATATGTATAAGAATTTGGTTGGTTTTTTTAACATTCAAATGCGAAATAAAAAATGAATTTTGATGTATATTGTCATGTTTGTAGGGTTCTTATAACAACTCAATTTTCAAACAGTTACACACTTTCCGTTGAGATTATTCTCACCCAAAAAAGGTTAACAGATTGATATTCATTTGCATAAGGTTGATTTCTATCAGACGCAGACGATTTAAAGGGCAAAAATCTTATACCTTGCTCAAATTCATATTCTGATTCATGACTGAGTCGTGCATACTCTTCAATGGCATCTGTAAATCCTAACTGTTGAAAAGCATTTAAGAGGCCATCTGCACTTGGACTGGTACCCAATTTATTTCTCTGTTCAATAAACCAGTGTTTAAGGAAGCCATGAACTATCAGCTCATTTGTTGGATTTGCTTGCATTATTTGTGATATTCTGTCATAATCAATCTGCAATGCTGAAGGAAGCTGCGTCCAGTCCTCTCTTCTTGCTATGACTTCAGAAAGTCCAACAAGTTTACTTTCAGTAATTGACAGTTGTATCTCTGACAAATATAAATCAAAATCAAATTACAAGTGTTTGTTTTTCTAAATTTGGAAATTAATTTTAGCTGTCTTGCTATCTCCGGCCCCAGTGGCCAAGTGATCTACATGATCTAAGTACATGTAACTTACAACACTGAGGTTGTGAGTTTCCATCTTGCCATAGAGAGACTTTGATCTTATTAAAGTAGGATTGCAATTTGACATTTTCTGCTGAAGGTGGTCTTCTACTAGTACTCTGGGGGTACATAGGTCTATGGTTCACTGTAGGAGAAGTAATGCGGAAACGCTATGCACCTCTTATGCAAGTAAACATGGTAAATACTCGAAAAAATTACAAAGTTCAATTATCTCCGAAAAGAGCAAATATCAATAAAAATCAAAACCCTGACCACATGCACACCATCAATATATGTTCAAACAGCAAACAAAGTGAAAACTTCCTAGCATTCAAACTGTAGGAGGAGTTATCTGGAATAGCTATGCACATCTTATGCAAGTATATACTAAAAAAATGACAAAGTTCAACTATCTTCCAAAACTGAAAGTGCAAAAATCAATAAACATGATAAAAATCAAAACACTGACCACATGCACACCTTTCATATATACAAACAGCATGTAAAGTGAAAACGTTCTAGATTTTGAACTATAAGAGGGGTTAACTGGAATAGCTATATATACACATAATTGGATGGAAGGATGCATATGGATGGACAGACGCACAAGGACGGACGTACAGGGGTAAAACAATATGCCACAACTTTCAGTCGCAGAGGCATAAAAACCTTAACCTTTGATTTTGGAATGTAAGCATGATTACCCATTGTCAAAACTATTTAAGGAATGACTGTAATATTTTTTCTGTCTATGAAGAAATAACATCAAAAATGTGGTGCACACTGAATAACCCGCGGGTTATTTTAAAGTGTGCACCACATTTTTTATGTTATTTCGAATAGACAGAAAAAATATTAAAGTCATTTCTTATAATTTAATTCTTAATTCCATTTTAAACCGGAGTAAACCATGAAAAACGTTGATGACGTCGCGGTCACATGACAAAATTATGTCTATGAGCTGATAAACAAAACAACGTCAGCCAATCAGAAAACGCGTTACATCTAAAATTAAATTATAAAAAGATGTTGCC